TATCTATCTATCTATCTATCTATCTATCTATCTATCTATCTATCTATTTATTTTGATAGCCAAGATTTTCAGGAGGTTTCCCCCAACCAAATTTGGTCTTTATTAATTTTGAAGGAATCCATAGTCTTTTGTTTCCTGTAGAAACAAAGACATAACCTCTTCCCTAATGCAACACATTTTCTGCCTTTCATTTAAGACATTCTGAAAATATATAGGCTGATTTAATTCAGTAGGTTTTTTTTTAAAGTATGAGATTTTTTTTATACTTCTTTTTATTTTATGTGCGTTGGTGTTTTGCCTACATATATACCTATGTGAGGGTGTCAGATCTTGGAGTTACAGACAGTTGTGAGACACCATGTGGGTGCTGGTAATTGAACCTGGGTCCTCTGGAAGAACAGTCAATGCTCTTAACCACTGAGCCATGTCTCCAGCCCCGGGTTTTTTGTTTTGTTTTAACAATTTAGTATCTCTCAGAAGCTGCCATTTTTTGCTCATTAGTATTTAAAAAATTTAAAGCCAACAAGAACCAAATAGGATCCAGACAACCTGTTTATTTCTTTTTTGTTTTCTTTTTTTTGTTTTTTTTGAGACAGGGTTTTTCTGTAGGTTAGGGGCCTGTCCTGAAACTCAATCTCTAGACCAGGCTGGCCTTAAATTCACAGAGATCTGCCTGTCTCTGCCTCCCAAGTGCTGGGATCAAAGGCATGTACCACCAAATCTGGGCTTTATTTCTTATTTTTCAAGTTTTATTTATTCATTAATTAATTTATTTTTTACACAACAATCCCATTTCTCCCTCCCTCATGTCCTCCTGTTCCTTCTACCTTCTCCCTACTCCACACTCCTCCACTCCTTGGAGAACCTGTGTATTTCATATCCTTACATGGTTTATTTTTTACATTATTTCCTCATTCTTTAAAAACTTTATTGCTTTGAAACATACATTTTTTATGATTGTCTATACTCAATTTTAAGCACCTAAACATATTTTTAAGCTAACTATCTATTCAAAGTTTTGGCCTGACCTGACCTTTTTTCCCCCCTGCATCAGCAGCATTTTCTAAATGGAAATTTCTGTCCTACCCGGTCCTACAGCTGTTCGGTCCCAAAGAAACACACAGAGTCTTATAGTAAGTATAAACTGTTTGACCTATTAGCTCAGGCTTATTATTAGTTAGCTCTTACAACTTAAATTAACCCATAATTCTTGTCTATCTTTAGCCACATGGCTTGGTACCTTTTATCAGAGAAGCATTTTCATCTTGCTTCCTATGCATCTGGCTGGTGACTGCATCTCTACCTTTCCTCTTCCCAGAATTCTACTCTGGTTACTCCACCTGTACTTCCTTCCTGGCTTCTGGTCAATCAGCATTTTATTAAACCAATATGAGTGACAAATCTCTACAGGTTACAAGAGCATTATCCCACAGCATTGTGAACCAAATCTTAAATGACTAGGTGGTGGCTAGGCTATCTGCTTGCTTTGTGGCTCCACTTAGCACTTGGTGCTAACAGCTGGCTCCGCCCCCTTCAGGTCCCTGAGAGCTGAGCCTTATAGCTGCAGGTACTTACTGTGGGTACTGGCCAGGAGTTGCACTTACTTACCCCAGTTTCAGGATGCAGCTGGGTTTGTGCTGAGGCATTATTACCTAGCTTCTCATCCTAACTAGTAGTATGCCAGTTATTCAAGTGCTCAGCTGTGTGACAGGGGGTCTTTTTTTTCTTTTCAGGAGAGAGCATGAATGAAGTCCCCCACTACCACAACTTATGCAGCTGAGTTTCCTGCATTTGGGGAAATCACAGAGGTCAGCACATCTGGGGAGCAATGGATAAGCCTTGCCCTGGGAAAAGGACCTTCGTGATCATGGTATCATCTTAAAGGAGCTGCACCTCTGTACCTCTATACACTGTTAACACTGAGCCTGCCAGGAAGTCACATTGAACTCCATGTTCAGAACATTTTTTCAGTTTTCTCAGACCCTGGTTTTCTTTGTTGTTGTTGTTATTGTTTTGCTTTGTTTTGTTTTGTTTAGAGACAGGGTTTCTCTGTAGTTTTGGAGCCTGTCCTGGAACTAGCTCTAGTAGAGCAGGCTGGCCTCGAACTCACAAAGATTCATCTGCCTCTGCTTCCCTGACTGCTGGAAATGAAAACATATGTCCTACAGTGACCCATGAACTCGTTTTATCCAGGAAAAATGAACTGAGACATGATAGTTTAGTGGCAACGGGAACAATGAAGAGGGATGGGTGGAGTCCTGACTGCTGAGATTGGAGGAGATTCAGAGTTGGAGTTTTTAGTTCGATCTAGTTTCTCAGGGTTTCACACATTTCATGTAATAAAGGTTCTTCCTATGTTCAGGGGAGTGATTACAGGGCAATATCCTGGCAGTTCACAACAGGAGAACTGAGGGTGGGTAATCCAAACAGCAACCCCAGTCTCCATCATCTGACCCCCACTCCTGACATCCACCATAAAAAATGAAGTATGCAGTAGAGAAATGTACATCCTTAATCAACAGACATTTATTGAGCTCCTGGTGTGTACTAAGCACCAAGGCAAGCACACAGAGATATTGGATTGGATGGCAGCCGACACGGAACTTCTGGATGCCCACAGAAAAGAAGTGGTAGACAGGGAGATACCTATCAATCACAGGCCTTCTCCCTTCTGTGATTTAAGGAAATGGAAGGGTCCAGAAAGAGACATCTTAGATGACATCCAAGACTTAGACTTACATGTTCCATGTATAGAAGACACTTGTGTAGAACTCACACAACTATAGATGTGTACAGGACAAAAACTGCGTATATGTTGCATATGCACAGGCTTTATGTGCAGAGTCAGAGTCTATGTGTGCACAGGACACATGGATATGGCACAAGAACTCCATCTGCCTCAGTCAGGGCAAAGGGATGGGGAGGGCCTCGGGACAGCAAGGCCTGTCAAGGCTCGGCCTGGTACTGGCCCTCTGTGGCTGTGAAGAAGTCATCCAGAACACTTCGAAGGTAGTCAAACGTGGGCCGGTCCTCGGGGCGCTCCTTCCAGCACAGCATCATGAGGTGGTACAGCTCCTCTGGACAGTTGTCAGGTCGGACCATTCGGTAGCCTCGCTCCAGATTCTGAATCACTTCAGGGTTGGTCATTCCTGGAAGGTTGATGGGAGAAAGAACATCGAGCCTTTAAACATTAGAAACCTAAAAGCAAGGCTGATGCTAAATTGGAGATCTTTCTTTCTTTCCTATCTATCGTCCTTCCTATCTATCTATCTATCTATCTATCTATCATCTATCTTCCTTTATTTCTATCTATCTTTGTGATACTTGGAAATGAATACAGGATTTTATGCATGTTAGTCAAGCAGTCCGTCACTGAGATACAACCTACGCCTATAGTTTGGACGTTGAATGTCTTCCCATGTGTTGAAAGCCTGGCCCCCAACTCATGCACTAGTGAGATACAGTAGAATTTTTAAGAAGTGGAGTCTAAACTGAGCATGGTGAGGCACATCTTTTATCTTAGCACTCAGAAGGCAGAGGCAGTTGGAACTCTGTGAGTTCAAGGCCAGCCTGATCTACACAGCAAGTTCCAGGACAGATAGAGATGTTACACAGAGGGGAAAAAGAGAAAGAAGTGGAGTCTAGTCATACATGCTGACACATGCCTTGAAATCCCAGCACTCAGGACATAGAAGCAGGTGGATCAGGATTCCCATGAATTCAAAGCTATCCTGGTCTACCTAATAAACTGCAGGTTAGCTATGGCTACATAGTGAGATCCTGCCTAAAAAGAAAACGTCAGAAACGATGAGAGATATGGGGATGGAAGTTGGGTCACTGTGGACGTTCTCTCTCTCTCTTTTTTTTAATAATTTATTTAAATTTATTTTATGTGTATTGGTGTGAAGGTGTCAGATCTCCAGGATTTGGAGTTACAGACAGTTGTGAGCTGCCACGTGGGTGCTGGGAATTGAACTCAGGTCCTCTGGAAGAACAGTCAGTGATCGTCAGTGATCGTAGCTGTTGAGCCATCTCTCCAGTCCCTGTGGACATTCTCTTGAGGGATATGCTGAGACCAGAGTTCTCCTCTTCCTCTCTTTACTTCCTGCTATGAGGTAAGCAGTTGTCTGTACCATGTTCCCCCCAAAAGAGAAACCTGGGTGTCTATCTTTTTTTTTTTTTTTTTTTTTGTCTTTTTGAGACAGGGTTTCTCTGTGTAACAGCTCTGGCTATCCTGAAACTCACTCTGTAGACCAGGCTGGCCTCGAACCCACAGAGATCGGCCTGCCTCTGCCTCCCGAGTGCTGGGATTAAAGGCAACCACCACCCAGATAACAACTTTTAAACGTGGGTTCTCTCCTTCCACCTTTCCATGGATTCCAGGGATTGAACTCAAGTCTCCAGGCTTGCTCAGCACGTTTTTACCCTCAGGGCCATCTCACTGCACCCCAACTTTCTTCTTTATAAGTTGACCATCTCAGGAGTTTTTTGGGTTTTTTTTCTTCAGTAACAGAAAGCTGACCAACACAGGTGATGTTCAGAATATGTAACTACTAATCCAAAATAATACTGGCCTTCATGATGGTAGACCACACTAGCATTTCCTGCTGAATGTCGGTCCTAGCTTACAGTGCTGATCTGGTTACTCGCTCAGTAACGAATGCGTCAACTGCAGGACCTTGACTGAGCCACCTGTGAACCTCAGCTTCCTCATCTAGAGTATAGACTAAATCCTCACTCCTCTTCCCTAAGGTATGGTGAGGATTGCTTGAATCAGTATGTATAAACAAGCATAGTTGTTTGGAGGTTTTTGGTTTTTTTTTTTTTTTTTTGTAATGTCTACCTGGGATTGTTCTCTAGTGGCAGCAATGGGGCAGTCGGGGCTCAGGACAGGATGAGAATCCACAGTGAGGCAGTGCTGAGGCATCTCTAGCCTTGAGACTAGGTACAGGAGATACTGTATCAGGACAGGAGATGAACACTGGCCTATGAGATAGGACAAGGCCAGAGCTGGGAAATCTTTTGGTCCCTAAGAGCCTAACCTGCCTCAAAGGGCTTTACATTCCTGGGGTCGAATTTCAGCTCACAATGCTGGGGCTATGGGAAATTTCTGCCAAAGTGGCCTCTGTTTCCTAACTCCTGACTCTTTTCTGTGCTATTTCCTTTCCCCCAGAGGTTATCAAATTCCTTTTAGAAATGTTCCACTCCTAGGCCTCAAAGTATAGCTCCACGACAGTGAACTTGCCTTGAATGCACAAGACCTGGATTTGATCCCCAGTCCCTCCAAAACCAGACACATAGGTGCGTGCCTGCAATCCCAGCACCTCCCAGTGAGGGAAAAACAGGAAAATCCAGAGCTCAGGGGGCATCTTCAGATTCATAGACAGTTAGATGGCCAGCCTGGGCTACAAGAGACATTGTCTCAAAAAACAAAACAAAAACCCAATGACTAAAACAGAAACTTTCAAAATAAAATTCTACCTATCTTGGTTGAATGTGGGAAAAAGGCCTTTTCCAGGAGCAGGGCCTGTCTACATGGCTTCTCTCTTTAGCTGTGAAGAAGTTTCATTAGGAAAGGACTAGTGCCCGGTGAGCAGCTTCGATGGGTCAGACTGCTTCTCAAAGTCTCTTGTTTCACATATCGGGAAATTGAGGCTCAGAGGGATGATATCACTTACCCAGAGTGTTATGGAATATTCCTTTAACTATGTGAAGGGGTGTAACATTTGTTGTGCTGTACTTGATTAATTATGTAAAGGTGGTGGCGCACACCTTTAATCCCAGCACTTGGGAGGCAGAGGCAGGCAGATCTCTGTAAGTTCAAGGCCAGTCTGGTCTACAAGAGTTAGTTTCAGGACAGGCCCCAAAGCTACAGAGAAACCCTGTCTCAAAAAAGAAAAAAAAATGACCAATAACGGGACTGAGAGATGGCTCAGAGTTTAAGAACACTGACTGTTCTTCCAGAGGTCCTGAGTTCAATTCCCAGCAACTACATGGTGGCTTACAACCACCTGTAATAAGATCTGGTGCCCTCTTCTGGCCTGCAGGCATACATGCAGGCAGATGCTGTATAAATAATTAATAAATAAATCTTTAAAAAAAAAAGCCAATATCTAGGCAGGAAAAGGAAAGGGATAGGCAGGGCTGCTGAGGAGAGAGAGAATAAGGAGGAGGAGAAATCTCGAACTCAGCAGAAGGGGAGAATGAGACCAGGGATAAAAAAGTCAGGCGGCACCAGTCAGACACTAGAGGAAGCAGGAAAGTGAGACATACAGAAAGAAAGAAACGCTCAAAAGCCAAGAAGCAAATGGTAGATAAAGGAAAACAGATTAGTTTAAGTTAAAAGAATGAATGAGAAATGAACCTAAGCTAGGCTAAGCTTTCAAGAGTCTCTGTGTTATTATATGGGAGGTGGTTCATGGTCCAGAAGAAAGCTGGGACAACAGAATGATGAGGAGTAATGCCGAGTGTGGCCTAAGCACTGTTCTGATCTCATATTTAAGAAAGAAGGGGATGAGCCAGGCAGGGGTGGAACATGCTTTTGATCCCAACGCTCAGAAGACAGAGGCTGGCAGATCTCGGTAAGGCCAGCATGGACTACAGAGTGAGTTCCAGGATAGGCTCCAAAAGCTACATAGAGAAACTCTGTTCACAAAAACCAAGAAAAGAAAAGAAAAAGAAACAGTGGGCTAGGTAGTGGTGATGCACACCTCTAATTCTAGCCCTGGGGAGGCAGAGGCAGGCTGATCTCTCAGTGTTTGAGGTCAGCCTGGTCTACAGAGTGAATTCCAGAGTCATTACTAAGTAACACTGTATTTAAAAAAAAAAAAAAGGAAAAGGAAAAGGAAAAAACAACAACATAAGGAAAAAAGGAAAAAGGAATAGGA